TGGAAGGTTCAATATTTGGCCTCTATGAGTTGCGTGTTGTTTGAGTATCAAAATGCATTGTTGGTGTGGTCAAACGCTCTAAAGTTGAATTCTGTGCTGGAAAATAGCCAATAAAGCCAGAGAGATTTGTTCCGCTTGAATTCCGCGTCCATGTCCATGGTAAAATTAAGCCACTCTTAGACGACTTTTTTCTCTGATCACTGTCGAAAGGTGCCGTGAAAGGGTAGATTTGTGCCTACTGGAATGAGGGTATTTAAATATGGAGTACTTAACAAAGTATTTTAGCTTCATTGCAATATCATGTCTTTCACATTTTATTTCATATATTGGTTTAGTAAAAATTAATTCATTGTTTTTGCCTCAAATTGAAGGCTTTACTGGCTATAGTTAGAGTTATCCGATTTATGTCAAATATGCGCCATTTTGCTATTTTGAAGGTAATGTCATTATGGCTCTCTCACCCGACACCTTTGTCCCTTTTGACAAAAAAAAAAGGAACAATTGATTTTCACAGGCTTCTCTTGAGGCCTTCATCAGCCGAATCACTTGCCATAGGCAGGAAAAGATGCTAATCATTTGGTGCTACTATAAAGTGGCTCATAAGGAGATCGCTTAACAACCTTCCAAACAAGCTCTCGGTACTTCTGGCGATTCACTACCGATGTGCGGACTGCCGCTGTCCTGATCAAACGGAATTCCTTTTCTGTTGGTCAAAGCTTGGCGCTTCTGGGCGAATGATTCCTTCAGACTCGACGATTTCCATTGTTTTAACACTTTCGAAATTGGCAATTGGTTTTCCGCACTGAGCAACGTATTTTACATCAAAATTACCGGAACGGAGTGCTTGGTTGACTGTCACAGTACCAAGACCGTAAATACTTTTCATATTTGCCTGACTTGCGTTTTCGACTTGATAACCGCTCAAGCGATTTTCAACCGAGCTCCTCCTCCAATTTGTGTTTTTGCGTCTCGATGTTTTCCCAACAAATGGAGGGACATACAATTTCTACTAAGCCCCCTCTGAGCCGCTGATGGTTTTTTTATGAGGAGTCTTTATTTCATGTCAGAAATACACTCGGAGCGGTCGACATTCCCTGCCGAGGCGCGACCGCAATTAGAAAATTTAAATTTATTTTATATTTGAATTAATTTCCTATAACTTCTTGGATGTTGAACCCGAGCTATCCGCATGACAGTGCGCACTCGCCTACCGCGCTTAGAATCTAGCGTATTTTCTCTTTGCTGGTCTTCATCTTTGATATGCGCGCTATTCCACGTCTCTGGACTCTAGCGCCGAACATGAGGGACATACAATTTCTACTAAGCCCCCTCTGAGCCGCTGATGGTTTTTTTATGAGGAGTCTTTATTTCATGTCAGAAATACACTCGGAGCGGTCGACATTCCCTGCCGAGGCGCGACCGCAATTAGAAAATTTAAATTTATTTTATATTTGAATTAATTTCCTATAACTTCTTGGATGTTGAACCCGAGCTATCCGCATGACAGTGCGCACTCGCCTACCGCGCTTAGAATCTAGCGTATTTTCTCTTTGCTGGTCTTCATCTTTGATATGCGCGCTATTCCACGTCTCTGGACTCTAGCGCCGAACATGAGCGACTTGTAGATTTTGTTCACTGTTCGCCGAGAGAAGATCTTACATTTCGAATTGCTTACTCAGTCCAAAGTGGACTTTGGTGCTGACTCTTAGATAAACGAAAATGTTTACAACTTCAAAATTTACATTATTAACGGTGACATGTTTGATGGCAGGGGATATTTCGTCTTGTTGTCATTCACTACCGGACCCATTCGCTTAGCTTCTTAATTCAGTCAGCAGAAAAGAGAAATGAGGCAACGCCAGCAGTGGAATATAGCTCGTATGTATGCAGCTCTCCAGCTTTTGTTATTTTCTCCAGCATTACCTCGGCTGAAGTCTTGTTTGGTAACAAATGGCTTGGAGAAGTATTTGCATCAGTTCTGACAGAGCTTTTGATGTTGCTTGGTTTGTAGCTTCTTTTCGGGATGTCGAAGATGCTGGTGTGTGCCGATGCTGTTCGCATGGATCTTTTTAAAGTTTTTGGCGCATTGTGAATTTATGGTCAATGATGGATCTACCACGTTTAAGCCACAGTGGCTTAATCTTGATGGGATTTTAACATATGGTGGGATGTGTGTCAAGTATGTTTAAGTGGGTGTGGGGAGAATTTCAATTGTATTCTAGTGAGCACAAGGCTCGTATCGAAAATTGCGAAGAGAGGGAATGGAAAGGCGGAGAAAAGATGAGTTTGTAAATCTGCATCTATGAGAAGATAAGTTCCATTGCACACAATCGGCTCTTTATGGTTGGGAAATACATACAAATATACATGTGTATGTTCGTGGCAGTAAACAAAACTCAAATGGCAGGAAGCAATTAGCCAGGGCCGAGGAGAGAAGGCAATCGTACGCTTTTACCACAATTTTGATCCGATCCTGATTAATAACCATTGAACCATGAAAATAGTTTACCATACACCATCCGTTTGGGGCATTGAATAAGAGCTGATTTTGATCTATTTTAATATTTTTTTTTTTTAATTTTTCAGGATTGAAAATTTGATAGCAGAAAAACGGCCACGCCTCGAAGCAATAACCCGGTTCATGGCGCACAAAGCTACCCAGTCGATTATTGCGGTTAGGATTAAGCCAGAGAACAAGTGGTCCCAAGTTTAGCCTATTTCATTTACGCATTTCCTACTTCATTTTGTATACATATTTATGCTCGTTAAATTACCCCCGTTTTCGGTCTTAAATTACATTAGAGATCATCTAAATATGCCCCACTAGTTTAATTAGTGAAATATTTTCCCCAATAATTTTATGCGTGAAATTAATTAACTTAAATTGCTTCAGCTCAAATTTAGTCTTTCTAGTTTCTGATGCTTTTGTTATAAATAAATTAGAATATATTAACAACAGTGTGTGTAATTATGTACTAATAAACATTTTTTTGGCTTTTTCACCCAATTAAATCAACAGTTTTGCTCAAATTTAACGAACATTTTTTTATAAATTTGGTGTGTTCACTCACATACATATGTACTTGTGTATATAACTCAAATAACATACACTCATATGAATGTACAATATGTACATGCATACGTGGACATCGCCACATTTGCTAGCGCCAAAATGGTAGTTTAATCAACTTTGAAGCTTGAAGTGCTTATAAATTATGACCAAAAACAGATTTCTGCTGCATTGACTGCTGCTTACTCATCGCTTGCACATTTCGGTTGAATACCTGTTGAATGCTTTTTTCATTTTCATGATAACACCTTAAATGTTGCGGCCAATAATCATATGCTATCAATTATCTACAAGCTACCTCTGTATTCTTCTTCGTTACTGCGCAAATCGGAGATGCTAAGTAAAGCCAGGTCGTTCTTAACTGTTTACAAGATAGACGAAGTCATCTAGGACTTCAAAGTTACGTGGCAGCCGAGTCACGAATGCGATGACTGTTTGTTGGATGACAGGAGATATTACGCCTTGCCCTCGTTCATTACCAGGCCCATATCCTTCGCTTCCTTATAAAGTCTGGAGAAAGCAGAACTTACAGTGCGGTTGTTGGGGCCAATAATGTAAAAATGTCAATGAGGTCTCTCCCAATCCTGGCGTAGCTTTATGTGTTGCTTAACGTCAGTTTACATAGCCGTATAAGATATCGAATTCAGACAAATAGTAAGCGTAGAGCAGCTCCTTTCGTGATGTCGAAGGCTGCTTTTATGAACAGACCTACTTCGGAATAACGCTTAAAAATTTTTCAAATTCATTACCAAAATAATGGTTTAATACTCCCGACGAAACGCGTGCGGCATCCAATATTCGATCGACATAAACGCCAATGAGTCCATCCGCCGTCACGTGCAAAAATTGAAATTGTGCCCATCAACTTTATAGAAGTTTTTGTGGAATGAAATCCAATTCGTGCAAAAATTAAAGTTGAACTACCAACAAACGCTTTACACTTTCGATGGCCACCGATCCCGATTTTCACAAGAACATTTTGTTCAGCGATGAAGCTAACTTTTGGTCGAAAGGGTACGTTAAAATTGTCGCATTTTGAGTGATGAGAATCCACAAGCCAGTATTAAGACGCCGTTACATGTTTTCTGGGCACATTTTTCTCCAAAAATTAAGCCAGCCATAATATTATAGTCAACGGAGAATGCTGAAGCCATGATTATTTTCGACCCTTATTTGGCGGATGTTGTGGAGGCTGGTTCATCTTTGGTTCCATGAAGACGGCGCTGTATATCACACTGCACGTTATCCCACGTGTGGCGTGGCTCCGAAGAACGTGAGATTTAACACCGCTGGTCTACTCTTTGTGTGGAGTTATGTGAAGTCGCTTGTCTAAGCATGATAAGCAAATAAGTATGAGACGATTGAGTTCTAGGAAGAGCATATTCGGCGCGTTTGTCCTGACATACTAAAAGTGAAAAAATATTCAGACTCAGACTCGCCTAACAAGTGCTTATTCAAATATATAATTGTGGCTTTGCGTCATGATGGGACCTACAGTTTATACTACGCCGCCACCGAATGGCTAATGGTTTCTTTATAAGGAGCCTTTATTTCATATCAGAAATACACTCGCAGGGGTGGAAATTCCCTGCCGATCGGTACGCACTGCCAACCACTCGGCTACCGCGATCGCCGATGTTCATAAGGAAATACTATGTATATATATATATTATATATGTAAACCTTTGATGGCTTTTTACCTGACTGAAGACATTGACCTACAAAACACAGAATTCGGTTTATGAAGACCTTGAATAAAGTTTAAAACTACTACTTTACGATATATTGGGGTAATTAGTTGGACCCAAGGGAGGAAATCAAATTTGTAACTTTTGCTTTTGCGCCATCAAAACGTCGACGAATGTCTGCAAGTGCCATCCATTACATATATTTAAGCAAAAAAATATATAATTTAAAATTTTCAACTTACCATTACAGCTGATTACAGTTACAAACCAAACGACATTTAAATTGAAATCTTGCATTTTGGTCAAAATTAACTATTTCGTCAGGCGCAATAAAACAATTCACTGCCAACTAATTTCAAGCCGAGTAATTAAAGTTCACTCTTACTGTTTGTTCGTTTATTTGTTTATGTGTATGTTTATTTATTTTAATGATGAAAAATTTTCGGCGTTCACTCAAAGAGACCAACCGACATATGTACATAGATGAGCTCTTTCAACAGTCAGTTATTATTGTGAATTTATACACACATACATATATACAAAACTACACGTTGTTGAGTTAAGATTGCTATGATTTCAAAACCATGCGCTTGTTTTTTTTAAGCAAGTAGTAGTGGTTGTTGTTGTTGCACTGCTAAAAAAATTAAATTCAAAGTAAACACAGCTGTGAGCACATAGAGTTATTTAAAAATACTCCAAAGAGTAAACTCTTTTTTTCAAAAATAGTATTCCAGATTGGTCAATGCAAAAATAATGCCTTAAAGGATTTATGTCGCAAACCGTGCGGTACTTTTTTTTCCAATTTGTAGACACGCGGACAAGCTGAGGAGAGTTTAACATGCAAAAAAAAAAAAAACAGTTACAAAACGCAACCGAACTGTGTACCTACTGTATTTATGTTAATTTTTTTCACAACACTAAATAATACAAATGCAGTATAGCTAGTAAGGAAAAGCAACAAAAACAAAAAACAATGTTAAAAAATGCATTTTGCTACATTCTTTTGATTCTAATGAGCAGCAAATTTGCTAACAGATTTTTTTGCATATATCTTTTTATTTATTTACAGAATTATTTTTAATTTTCTTAATTCTTTAATCATGGCATGCCTGTTAATTGTTTTTAGTTTTCATAATTATTTATATTTTTTTTTAATTTTTTTTTTAAATCTAGTTTCATATTTTTTTTCATTTTTTTTTTTAACTATGAGAATTGTCGGTTTGTCGTTGCTGCCACTGTTATTTTTCCACTTATAATTGTCATTGTATTTGCATTGTTTATTATGCGAGAATTTGCTTGTTGACTGGCACACTGATTGATTCCAGCAACAACGACAACAACAATGAACGGCGCAACACTGATCTTTCTCAATAATTTTCCGTTGGATAAAGTAATACAATTATTTTATATGTCTTTTATATGTTTTTTAATTCACTTCTTTGATTTATTTAAAATATTTTTTTTCAGCTATAAATGTTAATTGTTGTTAATTTTTAGTTTTTATGTGATTTTTCCATAATAATTGCTATCATAAAATTTTCGAATTATTTCTATACTAATTTTCTATTATTTTATATCGAAAATATATCGGGAGAAAACAACAACATTGCTTGTATTTATTCGGAGCTCAGGCAGGCAAACTTATTCCATTTCAACCGATTTTTTTATAAAGAAATTACTTATTGATATTGATTAAGTATGTTTTTTTATAAATTTTCTCATATTTATTTATTTTCTAGTTATTTACTTATTTTTATTTATGTTATTAATAATTATTTGTTAATTTTTATTTTAATTACTGCTATAATATTTATTTTTTATTATTATTTATTATTTATTATTATTATTTACTTATTACTATTGATATATTTATTAGATTTTATTTATTTATTGCTATTGTTGTTAGTTATTTTGTTTATTAATTTTTTCTATTTATTTATCTCTTTTTTATTACATATATAAAATTTATTTAATATATTTATAATAATATGTATTTTTTAAACTTTTTATAATTTTTTTTTTATTTTATTATAGTTAAGTTTTTTTTTTTTTTGTTATTTCATTCTTTTGCTGTTATTTTTTTTTTTTGGTTTTTTTACTATTATTAATTTATTATTTTATTAATATTTGTTATTTATTTTTTAAACTATATTTTTCATTTGATTTTTATTATTGTTTTAATTTATTAATATTTTTCATCCATTTATTTTCAGTATTATTAATTAATTTTTTTTTTCATTGATATTATTTATTAATTAATCATCATTATAATGTTTTTAATATATTTTTTTAATATTCTACATTGTTATACATGTTTATTTATTCATATATCTTATTTTTTTATTTTTGTTTTAATATTTTTTTATTTATATTATTATTGTTAATAATTTTTAATGTAATTTTGTATTATTGTTTTTTGTTGTTTATTAATTTTATTGTCATTATTATTATTTACCTACTTATTTGTACTATTATTGTTTATAATTTTATTACTTTGATTTATTTATTATTAATTTTTATACTTATTTTATTTATTTTCAATATTTAATGCTATTATTAAATGGTTATGTTTTTTATTTACTGCTTTGTTTTTTCTATTATTTATTTGCTTTCATTAATACATTATTAAAATACGAATATTATTTTTTTTTAATTCCATATTATCATTGTATTAATATATTAATATTTTTTAAGTATTTATTTTTGTTAATATTCATTTATTTGCTATTAATATTAAAATTTTCTTATTAAAAAAATTAATATTGCAAATTATTATTATTGTTATTTGTTTATAGTTTTTACTAATTTATCTTAATTTATTTTTTATTTAGATTATTGATATTTATTTATTTCTGTTTGTATTTTTAATTTTTCTTTAATTGATTTTTATTATTTTTATTTAAAAATCTATTGTCATCAATATTTTATTATTTTTAAATCTAATTTTTGACTTAGCGTACTTGTTGGAGTTATTTTTTTACTATTTTTTATATTTATTTATTGTTTATTGTTAGTTATTTATTTTTTTGCGATTATTGTTATTTATTTAATATTATTATTATTGTGATTATTTTCTTGGTATCTTTTTGATGTTATATATTATTGTTATTGTTCATTTATTTGTAAATTTATTTATATTTATTTTTATTATTCTTATGTATATATTTTTTATATTATTCAGTTATTTCCACTTTGATATATGTATATTATTACTAATTAATAATTATTTATTACTTACTACTGCTATTATTTATTTATTATACTTGTTACTATATTATTTTTAATTTACGTATATTACACTATATTACATTATATTTCTTAAATTTTTATTATTACCTTTTCATTTACTTTTATTATTACTTTTTATTTTTAGTATGTATTTATTAATTTTTATTCCTTAATTTATTTTTCATTGATATTTTTTATATGTCGTTCTTAATATTGCTTTAATATTTTTTTTTGTTTTTATTGTATTTATACATTCATATTTTTCTGATTTATTTCTTTAATTTAATTTAATTTTTTTATTTTTGTTTTTTTTTTATTTATATGATTATTATTAATAGTTATTTATTTTAGGTTTTTTTTTTGTTATTTCTTTTATTATTTATTTACATTTATTAGTTTTTTATTCTTATTTTTCCTGTATTTCTGTTAATATTATTATTTTTTTTTTTGTATTATTTTCCCTAATCAACTATGTTTTGTGTATATAGTAAATAATTGTTTCTTTAAAAAATATTGAAAAAAAAACTTTTAAATTTATTTCATCCAGAATTTTTCAACACTTTGCTAAATCATTTGTTCATTCCAATAATTAAATCAAGCTCGAGTAAAATATTTCACAACAAACTGAGTACAGAGTTTTCACATTTCTACTTTCGCTTGTCGCGCCACTTACACGTACATATGTTCACATTTAAACCATTTTTTCTCCAAATTTGAAGTCTAAATATCTAACACCAAAAAAGAAAAAAAAAGTGTATTGCCTAAGCCACTCACTCCAGCCACGAACTGTACCCCAAGACGCGCGCTTCAATAGTGAACTGAAATTGGTAATGCGAGCGACCAGTTGGGTTTAGCGTAAGCTGGTGAAAAATAGCTAGCAGCAACAACAACATAAACACTGCGGCTCTAATAAACACACACACGGGCACTCGCATGTACGACGTTTAAGTTGAAGCATTCAAACTCTAAAAAATGAAATGCAATGAAAACGTAGAGAAACGTTAGTGGCGGCTTCGTCCACATATGTGTACAACAACAAAAGTAATTCGGCATCAAGAAAAAAAAAAAAATTAAAAAAATTACAAAAATTAAAATATATAAAGTAAGTCAGAGTCAGCTGGGGCGTTTTGACTTTGGAAGGCGTTGATGAACTTGTGAAACTGATGGTTTATTGACGGCAGCGGCCGTTGTTGCATATATGAGTACATACATACCACTCACATATGCAGATTAATTTAATACACATGTATATAAATATGTAATGATTGGATCATGGAAAGGCTCCCTGTAAGGTCTGTTCAAATAGTAGGTGTGCCACTACGAAGGAAGGTCAAAACGTTTCAGAAAACCAATGCATTAGTCAATATCTTTACAGCCCTTATTGGTTCCTCGTGGTTAATACGTTTGGTATTTCATTATGAGAGTGTCTCTACCAAGTACTCTCATTGTAATATCCCCATGATGAAGCTCCAAACTAATTCTGAAGCTTAGTTTCTGGGTTTCGATGTTGCTAGATGATTTCACGGGCTTAGGAAAAGCATTTATATGGAAAAAATTATTTTACAACCTTGTCTCTAACTACATTCCACTTGTAAAGGGGTTTCCAATAAGAAAAATACTACGGCTGTAATAAAAATGGAACGATACAAGCTTCAACAATACACAGAACTTATTCAAATTTACTATAAAAATTTCATCGAAAAATCATCCTGATTGATGAGGCGCATTTCTACCTCGATGAGTACATCAATAAGCAAAACTCTCGCATATGGGGCTCGCAAAACCCAAGATTTATTTTTGGAAAGCTTCTCCTTCCACAACGTGTAACTGTTTGGTGCGGTTTATGGTCCGGCGGGGTCATTGGACCTTACATTTCGTATTGACAAGAGGGCACTACGTGCAACATTAGCAACGAAACCATCGATATCTTACGGGAAAGTTTCTTTGAATATCAAAATGAACACTCTAATTGGAAACACGATTGATACACACCTTAATTCACAGCAGCCTTGGTAAACGTTCTTGCCAACAGGTGCTACTTCGGTCGAAGTAGGCAAACCTAAGCGATGTTGACATCCGATGAGTGGGCCTTAGGAGTCTTCGAGAGGCAACAGCGAATACCACAGACGATGGAACAATGAGCTGTACTGACAGTTAGGGAATGGAGAGACTGCTTGTCCGAATGGTTGAGGGCAATCCATTGAAAATCCGTTGAAGGGGTTAAGAGAAGGAATCAATGGCGCGCTATTGTTTATTCGGCTATAATCGTATAAACGATGTCTCGATTAAGAAACAAATAAGACTCCAGAAGGTTTTGAGAGAAACATTTTTGGTTTTCTGCTTCTGAGCAAGGGCAGCCGGTGCAACGATGAGCTATACCAAATATACGGCGAAATTGGTATATTTCAGCGGATGGAGAGGCCGGGGAACACTCCAGCTTTTGATGCACTACCCGCCAGTCGAAGCAGTGGAACAGGAATATCTTTGTTGGAAGGTTGAGGTGGGGAAGAAGCTGTATGTAATTGTCATCTCTGGTGCGTGTTATCAAATCGTGTAACCGGTGTCTACGTCAGTAAAGAGGAAGAAGCCAGGAGGTGTTTTCAAACTCTATTGGAAGTCAAATGAGGATACGAATTCACCGCGGCCACTTTTGATATGAGATTTTCAGTGTGGTCAGTTCAAAAAAATTTTGAGTTTAGGTGCATTTAACTTTTTTTATCCTGGGTCGAAGTTATTATAAGTCGTAAAAAATAAAATACAATTTAATTATTATTACTGTTTGTGTGTCTAAGTATAACTCGGAAAGTAATTATTAACAACTGAGCAAAATTATCAAAATCATGAAAAAAGAAATCTTTTCAGAATAAAAAAAAAAAATTGGCAGTGGTAGTCATCAGACTAAATCCTTTTTTGGGCGGCTTTTCAAAGTCAGTCTCGCCATCAAAGTGTGTTTAAATTTATTATTATTTATTCTATATTTTCATTTTAGTCTCTTCTCCCCATCAATAAAATGCAAAACATAGAAAATGAAAAAAAAAATATTAATATAAATTTCCTAACGGGTATGTTATTAAAACATGCCTCTATGTATTACCCCTCATTGGTGTTGCAACACATGCGACTCGACATGTGGCAAGAGACCAGACAATGCTGCACGAAATTAATTACACTCAAAGTAACAGTGCGCTTCAATGCCTTTTGGGCGGTTCAAATGGCACTACCTACATATGGTACATACATATGCATGTACTTATATACACACACATATAAATATATTATATATATATGAATATACATATTTACGTATTAGCTACCCAACGACTGAGTATTGTGTGGTTACTATATTTTCAAAGCATTTAGGGTTCTCGGCACGAAAGTAGTCAAAAAAAAAAACAAAAAAAAAAAAGATACTGTCTTCGGCCATGCCGCGAAGTCTTTATACCTTCGATGACCATACAAAATTTATGGCATTTCAAATTGTGTTTAAATATAAGGTTTCACTTGTCCTCGTCATTCATTATTTTTGCATTTGAGGGCTTTAGTGACCATAACCAGAATCCTCTGATTTATGTCAAATATGCAGCATTTTGCTCGATAACTTACCTTACATCTATCTCTTTCATAGCAGCGCTTGTCCCTAATTTCAGAAAAATTGGGACAATTGATTTTCACAGGCTTCTCTGGAGGCAAATTCTTCACCAGCCAAATTATACGGCTTTGACAGTAACATATGGTAATTACTTGCCCTGATGTCCGGACTATAAGGTAGATGCATAAGAATCTCCCAACCAAGCTCTCGGAGCTTCTGGTGAGTTACTAGCGATGTGCGTGGTCTGCCGTTCTTCTGAAGCTGAGCGATTACTTCCTTCAGATGGTCCGATTGCTGACAGTACAGGCGAGAATTAGAAGTTTGGCTATAGGCACACAATAGAACCTTCCTGGCCATCCATTCTGGCTTGAAGGTCGTCTGTGCCTGCTCACTTTCTTTCGACCATGACCGCTTTCATTTCACGTCGCGGTAGGTGATCCACTTTCCATCAATTGTCATCATCCGTTTAGAAATGGTTCCATTCAGCAGCGATACACAGCCTCATATCGGAATTAATTCTTTGTATGGGGGTACTATGATTTCGAAAATGTTCCGTAGCATTGGGTGATTCATCATATGTGTGTAGATGTGTTTTCGACAAGTTTATGACACAAAATCTATAATCTGAAAAATCGGTCTTTTATATGCAATATTGGTTCCATCTGTCCAATTCTGGCAAATGATCGTGCATCTGTGAACCAAGTTCGGCTAAAATATCTTAAAAATTGAGTTTCCGTGCAGAAAGACGCAGATTCAACTCACCATTCTGACCCCTATTGGTATAATTTTTGCTGTATCTCTTTTCTGTTTCTGATACCTACATACTTGGCTCGAAGTTCATATACCATTTCAAGTGCGTGAAAGGTATAAAAAGCAAACGATCTCGGTGGGTCAGCGTCAGAAAAAGCCAAGTGTGTTTGGATTGGAGACAATCAAAACATTCAAGATAAATTTTAAATGCGCCTAAAAGGCAAAAGAACGCCGCAATCAAAATCAATTTATTATTAACTACTTAATTATGAAGTGGTCAAAACAAAACACGAATTTGCTTGCCCGTCTCTTTGACGCGCTGCCCAATTCAATCAGTGTGGTGTAGGTAAAATTGGTATTAAGCCCTTTTTCACACCACTCATGCCGTACAAATCGGTTTGGGTTACCCAGTAGTGCAACAAAGGCAAACATAGCTAACGTGTGTCGGCACGCCTCATTCATATTCGTAGTTGTTAAATGAGCAATTTATGGAATGTTAATGTCCTGTTGTTGTCGGTTTGCATGCTAAACTCAACAAGTCTTTATTCCGCTCACAGGCAATTATGTTGTAAATATTTTTTTTTATTGGTGCATTTAATATGAAATTATATCTTTCGCTTGCAATTTAACGAGTAGCAGCACCAAACGAGTTTTGCCATAAAACATCTGGTGCAAATGTTGAAAAGTGAATGAAATCAAATGACAATGGAAGCTTATCGATCGAAGTGCGAGTTATTGTGAGATATTTCAAATAATGGGAAAATATTGTTCATTCCTTTTGGCTCTTAAGGCCTAAATACTCCACGTCAGTTTTTTAGGATGGCTTAATTTATAAGCATTTCTTCTTGTTATTAGAAGTAGTTGCATTGACAGCTCCTGACAAAGAATGGCAGGCCACGTACATACATACCCTACATGTTTGGTTAAGGCAGATAAGCTTTTCTGTAATCGTCTATATTGATAAAATCATTCAATGAGTGGAGAAACAATTCTCCCAATGCAAAAAAATGCGCAAACTATATTTAATGAACTGGAAAACCTAGATACGAGGGGTGACTGCTACATTCGCGGTCTAAAGTACTTAATGAAACAAATGTATAGTGTTATGGTTTCTTTTTTATTTTTCAATATAGTCTCCCTCAAGTGAAATACACTTTTCACATCATGAATACAATGCTTTTATGCCACTGAAAAAATGTTGTTTAGATTTCTCTTCAAAATGGCTTTCTACGACCCCTCTCAGTTCACAGTCGTCTGAAAATCTTCATCCCGTAAATCCAATTTTTTGGATATGAGAAAAAGAAAAAGTCACTGGGTGCCAGGTATGGACTTAAGGATGTATAGTTAAATTCTTTTAAATTCAGTAGCTTTTAAGCCATCTCTAGCAACCCGAGCGGCGTGAACGGCTGCCTTGTCTTGCAGAAGCAGCAGTCAGCGCGTCTTTCCAGTACGACTGCATCACGCGCCTCATTCAACAAATCAGCGT